CGTATGTGACTCAAATAGAAAAGAAGAGAAGAAAGTTTGCCAGAGATGGCGTTTTCGGCCAAGCAAAATATTGTATACATTGTATTAAAATTAAAAATGGAGACGAACAAAAGCCCAGCCCTTAAATCTTCTCCGGCGACTCTGCTTCAGATTTCCAAAAGCTTAATCCGTAGCCATGGACAGATCTGTTCACCTACTCCCTCTTCGCTTCAAATTTATCCTCTTCGCTTTAGAAAGTTCACCATCGCCACCAAAAATGGCTGCTACGACGGCTGCCTTGATAGAAAGAGGAGAGAGATTTGAGGGAGAAGAGAGAGGATTGAGAATCTTACTAATAGAAAGAGAGAAAGAAGAGAGAGAGAAAGAACATAACTAGCGTATTTCATGCCTCAATGATAGGGTATAAAATAAATATCTATTTTGTTATAAAACAAAAAAAGGTAGCTATAAGTAATAATATTTTAAAATTATTTTGATTTATAATAAATATGGTGTAATAGTTTGCTATGGGAGGTAAAATATGAGATTTTAATGAAAAATTTCACTAATGATTTTTGTGGCAGTGGAGAAATTTTGTGATTTCAGAAGTGATGGGACATTGGAAAATTAAAAAAATCAATCCAGTCGGTGCTGAGTACATAAATCGCCCGATATTCCTAAAAAGCGGGATTTGGCTATGTACTGCTATTTTTTTTAGCTACACCTTTTTAAAAAAAAAAAAACATTCCCAGGAATTTTTTTTTTTTTTTTTTTTTTTTTTTTTTTTTTTTTTTTTTTTTTTTTTTTTTTTTTTTTTTTTTTGAAAATTCACAGGAAAATTCGCAGCCACTATCCTTCGGGTACGCACTAGGTAACCTGCTCACTGTGCAATCGTTCGCAAATTACACATGAGATGTAAACTGCACTAGGCAAGTTCGGTGCGACGAGCTCTGACTGGAGGCTGCTGATGAGGGGAATCGATCACATATCTCCCATGTGGGAAACAACTCACCCAACCAACTCAGCTAATCTTTGCATTTTTTTTTTTTTTTTTTTTTT